AGGTATTTAAAATATGTTTGGTCCAAGAGATTCATTGTGTGTGCTCCTAATATTGATATATTATATATATATAAATACATATCAATTTCGGTGGGTGTGTGCTTGTAATATAAGTTTACTGTGAAATACCAATTCAGTGGTTCAATTTGTCAAGTACTGTGAGTGTATTTGCACTGGAAGCAAAGAACTTGGTTCAATCTTATTTGTTTAGTACTCAATTTCAGTGAGCATCAAAGGACTACTTCAGTCCACTCTCTGCTGCCTTTGTTCCAACTTCGAAGGTGTTTGCTACTACTGCTGTGTGCTTTGAGGGTACTGGTTTGGTTTATTATTTTGGATTTTTTACAATCTGTTTTGAAGACAATTTATTCATCTATTTGGTGAGGTCTTTCCTCTATTTATTTGTGATTATTTGAAATTCACCTAAGGATGGTTTGTGAGACCATTTGTGTCTCGTTTGTAATCGTTTGAAAACTCTTGGTTGAGAGTGGAATCAGACTACGGTCCTGTGGACGTACCTCACATTAAGGGAACCATATAAAAATTCTTATGTCGTTGTTGATTTAATTTTTTCGCATTATTTTTATTTCCATCGATTGATTTACACTTGTGGGAAATCATCTATATTTTCCGTAACACTTTCTATATAAGATGGGATTAATTGTTGATGGCCTTCTCTTTTTGCTGAGGAAATAGAGCAATATGGGGCTGGGATGATTCATATCTCTTCATCAATAACGTCAAAAGAGGAGTTGATGTCATCTCCACAGCTAGGAAAGGACGTGTTGCGACTTTACAAAGCCCTAATTTGTCTGCAGTTCTGCATTGCTTTGATGCACAACCTTACCAGATTGGGATGTTTGCAAGAGCCACAAATGGAGGTTGGGTTTACACATGGATAACAACTTGAGCTTCTTTTTGTACCAACATTGTTGTATTAAGTTAAAATTAACTTGTTGAGCGGCAATCAATTTGGTTTGTATGTAAGCTTATTTCATTTGGTAAGTACAAGTATTCTTCATCATCCAATTCTGCGAAAACTTTGTGTGAACCAGTACTAGTTTACATTATTTCTTTGGCACTTCTTTACCTCTAATTATAAAAACATTAATGAGGTGGCCCTAAGTATAGCCCATTCTAATCTCTGCCCAATCTTTTCATTTTATTTCTCATAATTTGATTGTGGGTGGTGTGCTTGAAAATGAGGACATAAATTAAATAGAGTTCTCCTACGGACATAAATTAAACCACCGCATTTTTTATTTCTTGCTTGCAATGTTTTAGTTAATGTCAAGTTATTCAACTCAAAAAATCTGGAGTCGTTCCAAATGGTATGAGAGAATGTATCCCTAGTTGTGCTGGGTGTGAATAATGGTTTTGCTGTTCTTACCTTATCCCTAGTTCACATATCATATGTTAGAAGCCGAATCTTTGGTTACATTTCATGAGTGAATTGCATTAAGATTTTGTATATAAGATCATGCAAATTTTACTAACTTTGTTTTGTAACTGTTCGCGGGATGTCGGTAAATATGTAAGTTTTTATGCTTCAGCATCCCACTCGTGTGTATTTTCCTTACTATGTTTAGTATTCTACCATGAGACTATTAGCTTATTTGATATAACTCATGCCAGTGGATGAAGGTTGTGTTGCTTAATTTGGAATGATATTGATTTTTATGCTTGTAAACTCAATTTCTTTGAGTTGTACATCTTTAAAAACTCTTTCAAAATGCACGAAATCAAATTGTTCCAAAATAAATGACAGTCTATACTTATATGCTTCACAAGTAAATTTTAGGATTTATTAAATAAATCAGAACATACAAAGTAAATAAAACTCATATCATGGTTTAATAGAGGTCGATCTTTGATCGGGTGAGTGGGGGTGCTCAATTAAAGAGCTTCCCCTCTCATACCTAAGGTTTCAAATTGAGATATCTTTGGTTACGACAAATAGTGGCCTTGGCACGAGTCATGGGTTTCTTAATTTTTCCAAAATATTAGATGGCGACTCTGAGATCTGGTGACACAGTCCATTTTTAGCAATGATTTTGCAATAAAATGGATTTTCTACAAAAGTTGCCGAATTTGGACTCTCATCTATGTTCACGTTGCACTCATTAAACTAGATCAAAGAGATCAAGGGTCCAAATTGTTTAACACGCACAGGTACTCCTGGGGCAATGTTACAGACATCTTTGCCATAGTTTAGTTTATGAGCATCAGTGTTCTTTACATCGATGTCAAATTAGTTTATTTTGGTCACCGATGGCATTATTTTGTTTAAGATGTGTTAACAACTAGTTGTAACTCAATTTTGTTTTATTCAAACATGTTCTCTTTAATTTTGTATGTTCAATCCGTTGGATATATAAAATTGTTATTTTGTAGTGTTTGTTATTTCCTTGTACAATTACTTCTACTCATCTCATTTCTTAACTAAAAACCCTTAAGATATTTAAGTTCTCTTCATCGAGGTAAGCAAAGAACTAGAAGGCTTTTGTCCCCTTGGGCTTTGCACGATTTTCTAGTTATAAGTGAGATTTCATTACCATCCTCATTCACATAGGCAAGACTTTGCCTTGGCACGCCGGCATTCACATCCTTCTGTGTTAAGCCTTTTTTGTGCAAACAATTTCATGTTTGAAACTTTAGAGAGATTTTTCTTTATTATTTTAAAGAAGTGTCACACATAAATGTAGACAAACTACATGCTCAACTCGAGATAAATTTCTTTTGTTGAATTTGGACAACCCAATCCTAACACTTTATGATAAACTTGAGTTTAAGGTTGGGAAAATTAGTTGAGGCTATGAGTTGGGCTCAAAAAAATTCCTCTACACTTTAGACTAACCAAATTAAGACTTGTGTTTCAATCAAGTAAGATCAGTTACATGAATCCCTTTAATCTTTTATGCAGTTGGTCCCAAAGCCATATAATAGATTACTCGACACTCTAGACTAAGCTTAGGTATACTTTAAACTAAGTTTGGACATATTCTCAACCTGACTATCCTACCATATATAAATAAAATGGTAGTCGCTACCAAAGTAAATATAATAGTTGATTTTGGGTGACCGCTCGAGCGGTTATTTGGTCGCTCGAGTAGAGATTTACAACTCCCAATATCTCGCAAGTTTGGAAGAGAGACCGCTCGAGCGAAGGAATGGTCGCTTGAGCATAAAATGTGAGCTCCAAGTATTTTCACTGTAGCTCTGCAAAACATCTAAGACCTTACGTTTATTGCTCGAGCGGTGGAAAGTTCGCTCGAGCGGTCCCTTTGTATTTTTAGCACTTTGCTCGAGCAATGGAAAATTCGCTCGATCGGTCTGTTCGGAACAGTAGAGTTATATTGCGATCCAAACACTTTTCTAACACATTTCTTTCACCCTCATTCTCTCTCTAACAGCCCTCTTTCCAAAACCGTAGCTAGAAAATCCTAGATTTCATCTAGTAATAGCAAGCATCAATCTTTGAGCCTTCATTAAAGTTATTGTTCGCATCAAGAGCTCCGTTTTGAACCGATTGGATCGTGCTATTTCGAAAGTTTATTGAGTGGATCTTCATCTCTCTTCTTACAATCGTTGAGGTAGGAATACATTTACCTTTGTATATTTATACTTTGGTTAAAATGTGTGTGAATCTTAAGGTGTATGGAACTATTGGAATGGATGATGTATGTGTATATATATAGGTTTTGTGTTGATGAAGTGGTTGTATGAAATTGATGATGGGTTGTGTAATCAATTATGAAATAGTGAGTAAATACACATGAATTAAGGAAAATAAATACTTAGACAGGAAAGCCCCAAATTTTCGTATGTAACCCTACGAGTTGTTCTTGATTTTGACTTAATGGAAAGTTGATAAGTAAAATTGGAGAATCCTTGTAATTACTTGTGTTGTGTTTGAAATGCTAATGTTTTGGAATGTGTTTGAGGTGCCCACTTGCCTGGTTCGTGGAAGGACGACGAATGTGAGAATGTGTTTGAAGTGCCCACTTGCTTAGTTCGCGTGAGGGTTACGAATGTAGGGATGTTGTAAGGTGTCCACTAGCCCATTCGTGCGAAAACGACGAAAGTGGAAGGTTTGAGGTGTCCACTGGCCATCGGTGTGGGAACGGAAAAAAGTGGAGATTGGATGTTAAATTGTGCGTTGTGTAATATCTTTTAAAACAATGAAAATTCATAGGCATTGATATAGGTCATGCATATTTAAATCAAATATTTATATACTTGGTTAAAGTTATGCTTTACTGCACAATTACTCATTATAACATTTCAAAAAATGAAGAGCCTCAAAATTGTCAACGAAGAAGAAGAAAAGACTACCTCTTTTCAAAATCTAAAATTTGTGAACTAAAAGTTGAAATGTAACTGTGAAACTCCTTTCTTCTTTTAATTTGAGTTTTGTATTTTTTATTTTTTTTTTAAATATCTCAAGTAATTATTTTGTAACTTACTCTAACTAACTAAACTGAGATCTATATAATTTTTGTAAAGTCTGTAGTTCAATAAGAAAGAGAAACATATGAATGGAATTACGTGATGCGTGTGTGGAGCATGTTCTTGTAATTGTTCAATGGTATATATATATATATATATATGGGGTGTTACAGTAAAATTCTCTGCAATAATTTTGTTATACTAGTTTAAGTAAATAGTTCAAGCTCAAGACACAAGCAGTTAAGATTCAAGTAAATGGTTTAAGCTCATTTTCAAAAACAAAAAAAAGGTTTAAGCTCAAAACACAATTATTTTTGCAATAATCTTGATCATTGCAAGAAAGTATTATAGAGAATCCTATTCCATCCCAGGGGATATTCTTGGAGAGTTGGATTTTGAGAGGTTTCATGTCTATAGTGATTCTTGATTCATAATTTGCATGGATAATGAATAATTAACTCGAACTCAATCATGTAATTCCTACAATAGTAGGGGAGTTGCAGACTAACTGGAATAATAGAGGACCACTAATTATACATGCAACTTGAAACTTGACCAATGCAATTCTCAAACTTTAATTTTTCTCTAATTTCAAATTTGGAGTCCACCAGAAATTACTCTAAAAGTGGCCCCTTGTGCATCACTGAATGGCATTCATATCATTACAAATGGAAGTCAGTGCTCATTTAAAAAAAGAAACAAAAAACATTGAAGCTGCAAATAGATGCTTCTTCCCACCCAATGTAGAGGCACTATAACTTAAAATCATTGCATTGTTAGAGGTTAATACAAAACATTACGCTTTACGAACAATAACGCGCCTTTCTCGCTTGTATTCAACCTCATCTCTCTGATGCATGATTAGTAGAGCTCTTCTAACCTGCCAAATGTGAAAACTATTATCATTAAAAAACAATTGTGTGCACCAATATACAATTGGAAGCCAAGAGGCATTAGCTATAAAAATTGCCATTATCTTTCTAGTGCCATATTCCTTTACTATTGTACTTTTTGCAGGAAGGAGTATAAGCATTAGAATATCAGGCCAAGAAAGAGTAACGGATTGAAAATGGATGGTAGAACAGATTCATTCATGTGTATGAAGCATTTATTCCTTACAATCAGTGGGTAGAAAATTTAGTCGAAGGGAACAACATTAATCATGAAATTGGAATTTTTTTCATAATCAACAATGAAAAAATGATATAAACTATTTAAGCTAATAATAAACACAAATGTAAATACTTATTAATGAAGAGAGAACTATGATACTTAATTGTCCATATATGTATGCACATAAAGTTATGTATGAATATAAGGTCATATGCATGTATATAAAAAGGGGTTCTTAAAAGCAATATAAATATTCAAGGAAGAAATGAAGGGCTCTAGTTGAAAAAAAAAGAAAAAGAAAGAGAGGATCTATAAATGATTTAAGGGGGAAGTTTGAAAAATTTTCCTAAACTAGTAAAAATATAATTTTTCATATTTTGAGGGGAATCCGCCCCTCCTAGATCTAGCTTTAGATCTGCCACTACTTACAATCGATTCATTCATCCCCATCCTGCTAAGATCATCAATCAATCGTCTCTCTGATATGTGGCTTCCAATGCCCATTCTTCTCTTTATTTGGGTTTCTGCTTGCTGTTCATGAAAACAAACATGTAGAATTGTTTCACTACTCCGAGCTAGGAAATTATGGAAAGTGAAGAATGAGCCAAGTCGTGTTTCTAATGCAAACCTTTATCTCATTTGCCATCTCAGGAGTAAGATTTATGTGCTGATTGATTCCTGACCTTGCTGCATCCATAGTGGCATTGTTGAAAAGCCTGATAGCTTCTATTACATGGTTATCATTTGCAACATGGGACCTAAATTATAGTGCACAAAGAAAATATTAAATGGCAAACTCACATTCTAATCAAACAAAAAGGAGAAATGAACAAAAAAATGACTGTTAAATACACCCAATTGAAAGACAATTTGTTTCAATAGTACGTTATTAGCAGCTGTAATTATTTTTTGGTGGGAACCTATTTAAGAGTAATTATCTTATAATCTTACTGAACCCAGAGGAAATGGGTGGATTCCTGAATCAGTGAAAATGTTTGGCATCATTCAAGAGAATTCCCAAGAATAAGATCAAATAAAAGGAACACCAATCATATGAAAGTATCTTAATATTTAGTAAAAACTCAAAAAGTGTAGATTCACCCTTAGATTCGTATCGATTTTGCAAAAATTACGAATCGAATCGTGAATCGAATCGCGAATCGTAAGATTCTGATAACAGAGGTGTTTCACATAAAGCTTCACAAAAATCATTATCAAGAATGCAGCTATTAATGAAAATGAGATCATCACCTCAACTAATGGCATAGAACAAAGTCGTTCTAAAAAAAATCGTTTCAATTTTTTACCAACAGTTGTGAGACAGTTGCCACTCCCTATGATGACCCAAGATAATGAGTACAATATATTTGAGATTTGAGGATATGTAAAAGTACAATGCAGCATTCAGTGTCTATAGACATCCACAATACCAATCCTGAAGGGATATGATTTAGGTGAGGTCATATGCCTCTGTAATTAGCCTATAAATATACTTTTCTGATAAGCCTGAAGTCAGAAACCCAGCCCCTCATGGTCCCCCAACACTCCAATAAACCGCAAGCAAGTAGTTGGGTAGTAGTTGGCTACTGGAACAATCAACAGTAATTCAAAAGACAGATTACTGAAACAGGATGCTAAAGCTTTCAGAGTCATTTTTCCTATAGTTGTTCTTATGGACCCTATTATCAAATCATCGAAAATTTTGATTTCTGCATTCTAATTATTCTACAACTGTAATAGATTTTTTGAATTGCTTACCTGGCAAAAACCAACAAATGCTTATGCATATAAATTGTATTTCCAATCATAATTTCAATAACACAGAATTCATACGACTAATGTTCTTAGAGGCATTTTAGTATAAGCACTGAATCAGGGTTCCAAGTAATATTTTGAATCACAGATAAGTGCAAAAGTTAGTATCCTCTCTGTTAACTTACAGTGTCATTTTTGCAAGTGCTTCACTCAACCTTACTATAGCTTCCAGCTGCCTCACGGTAATTGGTATTGCAGCTACCTCTCCAGTTTCATTTGACTGTCGCCTCATGTCCTACAAGGAGCAGCATTGTAGAAGAAAATGAATGAGAAAATAAAAAACTGAATCTGTGTGTGTTCGTCTGTTCCATACATATTTAGAATAACATTACCAAACAGAAACCATGTGGCACATGAACCCCTAATTATTAAATTGGGACCTAACTGGATATCAGAATGCTTAACTACATCGATGGTAATAAAATCAATCTGGATAGCCAAACTGCTTAGGGTTTTGACAAGTTATTGTTGGCCTCCAGATTTCCCAAATTTTCCATTTCAAACTATTGCAGAAGAATTGAAATGTTTCTGGTGTCAAGTTCATTGATTTATACCACAAGAGCTTCTTGAATTGTTTAATTTTCTATTTACCATAGCAGTCGAAAGGATACCTGTCTAATTTTAACATAACTCTCCTGCAACATTGTGGCTGCAGAATCTGACAGACGGGGGTGGCATTCAGTTCGACAGTATTGTATATACCTGCAAACATGTAGTTCAATTGATTCAGCATTTAACCATTATTTGACAGAACCACATCTGGAAAAGATTGACACCTTTTCAGCCAGTTATATTCTTTAGACGTTTTAGTGTCACCCATGGTTGCACCGGCAGAGGCATGGAGTTTGATTATATGACTAGCTATACTCTGTAAAACGGAAAACATTCCAATTAGTTGCTACACATTAGGGGCATTAGCAGCCTAATGATATAAAACAGCTCCATTTTCAAATGGGATTGTATTCCACATGAGCTTTATGAGTTAATGAATTATCATTTATGAGTAGATATTTAAAAATATAAAATTGAAAATACTTGGATCTTTGACTATCCTTTTAGCAGAAATTTTGATTTTGCCAATACTCCAAACCAAAGCATAAGTTCTACGTTAGTGCAAAGGGTAACAAAAGGAAATTGATCTTTTAGATAAAGATATTTTACTTAACAAACACAATCAACGTAATAAATTATTTCACTTCTTTGTATGCGTCCAAATGAGACACAACAATAGCTAAACAAGGATAATCAGTACCTTGTCTTGACTGTACATCCTAATATCTTTCACAATGAAGATTAGATCAAATCTTGAAAGAATTGTAGTCTGCAAATCAATGTTGTCTTGAGCAGTCTGGAACATAAATCAATCCTGTTAGTTGCTTAGTTTATAATATAAGAACAACAAATTATAAATAAAAAATAAAAAAGAAAAAAGGATGAAGAAATACAAAAATATATATATTAAAAACAGAAAACAGTAGACCTTGAGATCATCGTAACGCCCTGATGGAGGATTAGCTGCTGCAAGCACAGATGTTCTAGAATTGAGAACAGTCGTTATTCCTGCTTTGGCAATTGAAATGGTTTGCTGCTCCATGGCTTCATGAATAGCAACTCTAGACCACATGTATGTAAACCTTTCAGAATTTTCACAACCAGATATATATAAATAAAAAAGGTTCATCAAGACCTAAATTTAGTCTATATTACCTGTCTTCTGGTCTCATTTTGTCAAATTCATCAATACAGACAACACCTCCATCTGCCAAAACCATAGCCCCTCCTTCCAAGTAAAATTCGCGCTGAGTAGTGTTAAAGAATGTGCTTACAAGTCAGATAAATTTTTATCTTGAAGTAAATGGAAGATTTTATTCATCAAAATGATCTCCACGTAATAATAAGAATTACGAATACAATATCTGCATATATTCCAAACAAGATCATGAACTTACAGAGCTGCTGTCTCGAATTACGGAAGCAGTAAGACCAGCAGCTGATGAGCCTTTTCCAGAAGTATATACAGCTATTGGAGCTGTCTTCTCCACAAACTTGAGAAACTTCACAGTAAAATAATTATAAATTAGTAACTTATTTTTTGTCATAATGAAAACAACAGCATGAATTCTCTTAAAGCTTACATGAGATTTTTTAACCAAAACTAAACAAAATGGTTTTGAACCAGAACAGGGAATTTTCACATAGAAATGGTGATGGAAAAGACCGTAGTAATGAGCCCTTTATGTGATTTTTATGGAATACCTAACTCACAGGAAGCTCAAGAAATGCTAAACTGACCTGTGATTTAGCAGTAGATGGATCTCCCAAAAGCAACACATTTATATCACCTCTTAACCTCACACCATCTGGTAAAGTCTGCACAAGTAGGAAAATTGATGATATAATGCACAAGTAAGGTTCATGTTATCAATTATACTGCATCAATTTTTTAAGAGAAAGGTTCATGATATACCTTCCTTGATCCTCCAAACAAAAGACAAGCCACAGCTTTCTTCACATCATCATGGCCAAGGATAGATGGAGCAATCTTGGAGCATATGTTTTGATATGCATTTCCTTCTGAGGCAAATTTTTTTATTTCTTCTATCTGCAGACAACAAAATTATGTTAAAAAGAAAGTAATATAGAATATCAAAAGACAAGCACATAGAACTTAAATTTTTCTACAGCGAATATTTCTCTGTAAATATTGAAAACATTGCACAAGTTGCAAGGGGCTCGGGGATCTCCATTAATGACAAAAATAAGCCTAGGCAGCGAAGAAACTAACAAAAACTTCGGCTGCTTTTACAGCATTATTGACCTGATATGAAAGGACCTGCTTATTTATTTACCCTTCTGCTTACATTTTTTTCACAAATGATGCACTGGAAATTGAGTTCCACTACATTCTTTAGCCTCACAAATTGCAAATTTATCACTATATGGTACAATTCCCACAAAAAAGTGACCCACAACTAGAGCATAGCTCACATACTGGAAAAAATTCACATGGAAATACATAAACCAACAACCGTGAGAAACACATGCTATTGGAAAACATTTTAATTATTAATAACCGGCAATTCTAATTCAGATAATTTGACAAATACCTCTTCTGCTGTGAAGTTTGCCGGACACCGGGAGTCAGCCTCATTAGCTTCTTCTATTCCTACAACCCTTATATAAGGTTGTCTAATTGCAACTGCCCCTTTGTGGCTGCATAAGAGCCCAAATGTGAGAAAATAACATCCAAATAGTCGAAGCAATGAAGATGTAAGTCTCCAAAGTCATCAAACATTCAATCATGAAGTTAAAGAGTCTTACGACGTGGATGAATTAGCAGCTTGAAAGATACTATAAATCCCCATTATGGTCAATCTTGTACCAGGTACAATTGTTTGAACAAGATGACGATCGACAGAAAGAAGCATATTCCTTGGTAGCTCACCAGTAGGGACATCCTTACATTTCCCAAACCAAAGAGATTACAAGCAAATAATGATAATAAAGAAAACATACCAGGGAAAAAAAAAACAACATTAATTCAATTTCAAACTCCTCTTTTGGTGAAGCAAGAGTCTCTCACCTCAGGATTTTCCTGCAACTTCAGGGTCTGTTGATCAACATACTTGCTTTTATCTGGAACCACAATCCAGGGATCAATCGGACACGGTTCTTCCCCAGGCTACAAAAATTGCCAATCATTCATATTGTTTCAAATAATAATTCAGACAACAGGTCAACAACAACATATTATGCAATAGAGAAAACCTGAGCTATATGATCACATGATCGCGGCACAATTGCCCCGCCAAGCCCTGGACGACATGGAACAGTCTTCACATTCTTACAATTCTTACACAACAAAGTCACATAAGTCGCCTTTGCCTTAGTCCTCGATGCAGCAATAGTAATCCCAGATATCTTAACCAGTTTCGATATATATGGCGCCTACCCATCAACCAAATAAACCTTCATTTCAATACCCAAAAGACCAAAACTTTGAAATGAACTAGAAGATTCAATTAACCTACTAACCCCAAGAGATCTCATCGACACCGGATCCTCATCAGAATTCAGCAAAATCTGCACCTCCCCAGTCTCTGGTTCCTCCATTTCTCCGGTCTCTCCAGCAACTTTCGATCTCAAACTGGCCAGAACTTCAGCTGCCGCAGTTTCAAACTAATACCAATCCACAACAAAGTCCCATAATTCAAACATTGTATAACAGAAACCTAACAAATGATATCTATACTATTATATAAAGCCTGAGTTGGTGTAGACTGTCATTTTTTTGGTTTTTTCAAAATACCCTTGCCTAATGTAACTGCTCAGATCAAAATTTGTAAATTCTTGCAGTTTTAACAGTGCACACACCACTAGCATACATATATATATACACACACACAAAGACATGAATCTGAGATGAGATTTACAAAAACAAGGGCAGGTTATCCACAATAATGTCTCAAAATTCAATCAATTAACAATAATATAATTATGTATATACAAGTTTAGATCTGTATAAATGTATTTATGGTGAGATTTGAAATACCAGGGGAAGATAATCGGCGGGGGAGTTGCGAAGCAGTTCGTCGAGATTGTCGTATTTGCAGAGATCAGCGAGATCGACTTGGAGGAATTTAGGGTTTTGAACGAGGCTTTCTCTGTAGAGGAAGACATTGGGATGGTCTTTGCGTGCGTAGCTTCGTATGAACTCTTTGAATTTGCGGAGGATGGTGTGGCGGCTCGCCGCCTGCTCTGGATCTCCGCCACCGCCACCGCCGCCGCCGCGGGGGAACTGCGCTTGGTCGCTGTAGAAGATCGCCCCCTCGTCCCAACCTGACATCTTCACTTCTCTCACTCTCTCTTTCTCTCTCCTCTCTCTCTCTCTCTAAATCACACTCGGTATGGACTTCTCTCTGTCTCTCTCTTGCTGGCTCTCTCTTTCTGTATCTCTAATGGGTTTTTGGCGGGAAGGATATGGCGGGAAATGGTGAGGGTGTGGTGTGGGATATTTTTTTTAACTAATATCAATTTTTTTATTTTAAAAAATTACAAATAAAAGATAAAAACTAGAAAAATATTCAAAAAAAAACATGGAATCCATTTTATTATTAAAATAAAAGACAGAAAGGGCACTCCCTCTTTTCATTTATTTACCAAATGTCAATTTTCCTCTCTCTTTTTCTTTTTTCGATAACTCTATTACCACGTCATCACTAATCAAAATATACAAAATCTAATTTAAATATACAACTATTAAAAAATATCTAGCCACTATTATCATACACTCCCTACTACCACCAACTCTTGCCTCATCTTTCCTCGCCATCCCCAATCACTTCCCACTACCTCTATTGCTCTCTACTCCTTCCCAACCTAGCAATCTCCCTCACCTAAAATCTAAAAAAAAAAAAAAATTAGAATGGAGAAGAAGACGAACGCGAGTCACAACTCTAAAATTAAGGGTTACAACTTTAGGCCTAGTTTGGGAAGACTAAATAAGTGCACTTTTTGACTTTTATGAAATATGGGTTGGGTTTGAAGTGATGTGTTAGAGAGGTGATGTGACTTAAATAAGATGATGTGACTTAAATAAGATAGTGACTTTTTGACTTTTTGTCTTTTTTCAATCATGCCAAACTTGGCCTTAATCTCAATAATGGTTTTTTTTAATAAAACTAACAGCCATGATTCATACACCCAGTGGGGGTCGACCCCCAGTGAGGTGGCGACCCCCTATTCGCTGAAAAAAAAAAAAAAAAAAAAAAAACTATTTTTTTTGGCCAATCCCGGAGTGACACCTCACTGGGGGTCGACCCCCAGTAGGGGTAGGAAGCATTTTTGTAAAACTAATAAGTCGCTTAAGTTTATTTGATTAAAAAGTTGACTAATAGTGTTTAGTTGTAATTTTTTTATTCGTATTTAACTTTTCAGTTTATTTAGTCAGGAAAAAAATAAGATTTTTTATAAGCTACAATTAAAGTTTTATTAATTTATTTAAAACTCTTAAATAAATATGGACAAAATCTCATCTCTTAAGGGGTTGTTTGGGATGTTCTAAATAAGTGTATTTTTTGACTTTTTATAAAAAGATGTGTAAAAAAATAGAGAGGAAATGTTGATTGATATGACTCAAAAAAGATAAAAAGATAAAAAGTGTAAAGTTATTTAATCTTCCCAAACTTGGCCTTAATTATACGACTTTTGAGGATATCTTGGCTATTTGCATAACAAAAAGGCTATATGACAACTTATTAGCTAAATAGGTTTAACAATTTTTTATTTTTTTTAACGGATTATGAAAAGTTACACCAAATAAATTTATATTTGTTTTAAATCTATTAAGCTAATAATCTAAAATATTATAATCATAAAAGCTAAATTATGAGAAATACCAAACAATGCCAATATTTTGACAATTTGTTTTAAATTTTTTGAGCTAATAATTTAAAATGCTATATTATAAAAGCTAACTTATAAATAATACCAAACAGGGCTAACATTAATTCAAAGTTGCCTTATACTATGCTAACTGGTGGTGTGCCCCACCCGATTATTGTGCTCTTAAATCTGCAAAATACAGATTTTGATTTGAATTTGAATTTGAATTTGAATATGAATTTTATGAGCTTCAGGTTAGAAGTCAATTACACGAGTATATTTTTGATAATTTAGGGATATACAAAATTTCATTTGGTAAAAGACCTCAGGAGAAGATGTTACAATGTGTACCGTAAAAAAAGTGCATATGATACGCCTTTTATAATTTTTTTACAAAATTTTATAACTTAAATCCAAAATATCATAACTTTTTCACTGAAAAATGTCATAATAAAATCTCAAAGTGTCATAACAAAAATCACAAAATGTTATAATATTATCATCCCTAACTTTAGGTTGCACATCATAAATTCGCTATTTATAACTTCACTACAAAATGTCATAACACACATCACAAACAATCATAACGTTCATCATAAAAATCATAACTTTTTTACAATGTGCACCATTGGAAATGGTGCACAATGTAAATTTCTCCTTTAAAATAATTAATATGATGTTTTTATTATTAATCTAATAATTTAAGTTACATTTATTTTGATTTCAATTTCATAACTAAAAATACAATAGGGATGTTTAGGGAAGATTGTTAAAAGTTTACTTTTTAACTTTTTGGTTGTATTTTTTTTTTTTTTTTTTTTTTAAACGTAAGAAAAGAAGTGGGTTAGAAGCTAGGAAGTAGCTTTTAATCCCCTTCTCAAAATAGGCCATAATACACATACAGATTTCTAATCTTTAAGAATAAAAAAGTTTCAAAATATTTTCAAACTTTCATCATTTTCTTTTAATTTCTTTTTATCTAATTCGGTTTTAAATTTGAATAAAACTTCTGATTTAATATGAATTACTTTTAACTTTTTCATTAAATTTTTGTCAATTTTTAAAAGGACTTTTATTCTTATCCCAAATATGAAAACAAATAATTTTCAACGTTTCATCTTTTTAAATTTTTATCAAATTATAATTTGATAAAAAAATATTAAGGGTTAAAATTCTCTTAATTGAAATTATAGTGAAATAACATCTTGAAATAGTCAAAGTTTGAGTATATAGTTAGTTGAAATGTATAATTTAATTAATTCTCTTCTCATATTTGTATAAAATTTGAGACTTATGACAACATCATTATAAGTCAAATTATGGAAAAAAATTTGAGGTGTCAAACATTTTCCATTTGTAAATATCCTACATATTAAAAAAAGAAAAAAGATAAAAAAATGTAACTTTTGGATATGTGTTTATCAGTTTTGTTTTATGGACATAAACAATTGATGTTTCAATTTAAAAAATTAAAAAGTAAAAAAAATATATTGTTTTTTTAAAGATAAAAGAAATAATCTAACTCTTCTATATACTATTTAAGATGGACTATTTAATCACATAAAAAAAATAGAAATTATATTTAGAGATTATCCTTAAATAGTATGCTATTATATACAACTATAGCTATAACAAATTAACTATAATATATATGAAAGTTATATTAAGCTTTCATTTTCAATTAATTGAATTACAATTAACAAACTAACAAATAGCAGTAATGATATAATGGGATAGAAAGAGGATAAAAATAAAGAACACAATGATATTTAAAAGTTTTAAATTTACCTAGTTATACAAAAATCTAATGTTATAATAAAATCTTGAATTCTCAATAAATTTTCACATTTTCTATAAAATAAAAATAACAATAAACAAAAAAAAAATTTGGTACCCATTTTTTTACTTCAATTTTATTGTCTTTATTGAAAAAAACAAAATCCGATCAAAATCCTTAGCACATAACGGATATAGATACTTCAATTACAACCATAATCACCAATAATTATTCTCCACCATGCAAATCTGTAAATAAACACATAAACCTCACTAAAACCAAAACCAAAACCAAACCAACAGTAGAGAAAGAAAAATTACACAGGAAAAAAAATAAAATTAAAAAACAAATAAATTTATGGAGTGGGAGAATGTTACCTACAACAACTTAGACCTCACATAACCCAATCTGTTAGCTTCTCTGCTAGTGCCCGCGAAGTTTAGGAGTTGGAATGACTAATCAAATTATTTTTTAAATAAGACTTGAAAATTGATTAATTTATCCTATTAAGTAATTTAAAATTTTGATAGATATACATAAAAAAATAGATAATTATATTACTAAATTATAATTCAAATTTAGATATTGTCATATTTTTTGAGATTCATGTAACGCCCTCAAAAATAATACATGAAACCCAACAATCTTGACATGCATAGACATAAGAGAAAACATCTTTCCATTTATCAAAGTATTCATTACAAAAGTATTGCATGTTGACAACAAAAGTAAATGCCTTACGGGCTTACAACTTTCCAAGCCAACACTTGGTTATAAGAAGAGAGTACTAACTCAAATACATATTAAGCCATTGGCTTGAATTTACATGTAATACATCAAAAGGTAACATAACAACAAAAAGAGTCTTCAACTCCCAGAACCTCCCAAGCTATGTCATTGGAGGTGGCATAATATCTGAACCTGAAAAATGGTGTCCCATATAGGGTGAGCCAGCGCCCAGTAGAGATATGCTAAACATAATATGAGCAATAACTAAAACATTAGCACTCGATAAATGTTTAACTCATATATACCAACTTATAACACATTTCAATTCCATGACAAATATGTTCATGTTTCATTCCACTTTCCATTACTTATCTAGTTCTCAATTTATGAATAAAGCTCAGAACCTGTCCAATAATTTAATGAGACTATAACTCATATCAAAACACTTCTATAATTCACAATAGATACACAACTTGCTGTATCAATACCACATCAAAACACTTCCATACTTCATAAATGATACACAGATTCGTTGTATCAATAGAGTCCATCTCCTATCTCCTCCCAAATAAAATCAGGTTTAGGAGTTCATCCCCTATCTTCCCCTAAACCATAGAGTGCATCTCCTATCTCCTCCCACACAACACAATGTATATAAACACAAATCATATACATGAGCAGTCAATACATAAATTTGATGTATTATTCAAACCGTCATATTCGATGACATAATCAATTGATTGGTTTTAATTCGCCTAATCATCATGCATTGTCTACAACAATCAAGACTATCCTCCACCGATAGCCCAAAGCAATTTATTTCTAAACAGATAATAAATGCATCAACAGATAATTTGACAACAATTTCATAAATGAGCGATTAATAAATCCAACTCCACTATTCCCTTTTATAATGAGCCAATTTCATTATTTCCAACTCAATTCCATATTTCCATAACATTCCCAAATTAATTATATAAATTAATTCATACAACAATTTAGGGCTTTCTCTTCCTTT